CCATGAATTTGCTCCCCCTCCTCATCCTGCTGGCTGTGTGCTGGCCTGCATATGGCACATGGGACACCTGTGGGTAAGTGGCCTGAGGCTCTGGGAGGGAACTGGGGCAACCCTTATGGGGTTCACTGGAAGGTGTCCACTTGTCCCCCGTGGCCACACCACAGCTTCCCCAACCCCATGTGGGAGCCTCAGTTCCTTGCCAGCACCAGGCTGCTGGCACAACTCCTCTACGGGGCCTAAAGCAGTAACAGGGGCAGATGGATGCACGGCCCATGGGGTTCCTTGGCCCTGCTGCCCATGCAGCACCTTGTGGGGAGGGCAGACGGCTGACCTTCAGCCTGAACAGCAGCAAGCCATCGAGCAGGACAGTAATGAGTTTCTGGTTACAGAGGGACCTGCGGGCTCCGGCCCATGGCTTCTTACTATGGCATGTCACGCGTCGTGGGAGGCACAGGTGCCTGGCCAGGGGCCTGGCCCTGGATCGTCAGCATCCAGGATCCCTGGGAAACAGGCACGGGGCATATATGCGGAGGGTCCCTCATCAGCCCACAGTGGGTCCTCACAGCAGCCCACTGTTTCATTGAGGCCAGGTAAGGAGGACCAGGGAATGGGGATATCCCCACAGCACTGGCAGGTGCCCTGTCCACAGCACCACGTGCTGCTCCCATCCCGTTCCCTTGCAGTACGCCCGGTGCCTGGACACTCCAGAGCCCAGCTGACAGACCCCTCAGGAGAAGCCCGGGCTCATGCCACTGCTTCCTAGCAGCCTCCAGCTCGACGTTCCTCATGCCTAAGGCATGCTAGGGCAGTCGCACCCTCCGTAGCGCTGCTTTCCTCTCTCCCCTGTGAAACAGAAGGCAGGGCACTGCTGGGCTGCTGCAGCACATGGCTCTGCTCCCTCTGACCTCTCCCTCCATCTGCCTTCCAGGCACATCACCATGTGGCGCGTGGTGATCGGGGCCACCCAGTTGACTCAGCTGGGTCCTGAGGCCCAAGTGCGCCATATTAAGCAGCTACTGGTTCACGAACACTATAGTAATATCTCGGAGAGGAACGACATTGCCTTGCTGGAATTGGACCAGCCTGTCCAGTGCGGCTACTACGTACAGCTGGCCTGTGTGCCTGACACCTCACTGAGAGTTTCAGATCTGACAACCTGCTACATCAGCGGCTGGGGTTCCACAACTGCAAGATGTGAGTTCCCAAAAAGTACTCGTGTCCTGAGTGCAAGCTTGGCACGCTGGGGAGATGGGTTGGGTCTCCTGAGAGCAGAGTTGAAAGCCACAGTCAGGCTGTGGGGACTTATGCCTATAGAGAGATGGGCCTGAGCCATTACCCAAGGCAAGATAGAAGGGAAACATGGGTACAATGCCTCTTGACATGCAAAGCCAAGCCTGTGGGAAGGGGCTCAGCCAGACAGGGGAGCAGAACTGGCAACGAGCTGCTGGCTGTCAATTCCTTTCTGTGCTCACAGCTGGAGGATCAACTGATGTCCTGCAGGAGGCCAAGGTCCGCCTCATTGATGTCAACCTCTGCAACAGCAGCCAGTGGTATAGAGGGGCCATCCACGCCCACAACCTGTGTGCCGGCTATCCGCAGGGTGGCATTGACACCTGCCAGGTAAAGGCATGCTACAAGTCAACCCCCAAGCAGCACAGGCAGCCCTGTCACAACTGCCCAAACACACCCCGGTGCGTGCTTTGCCTGGCAAGTCACCCTCCCACCGCTGGGTCCCTACTGCTGTTGGGGCTCACCTCCCCTTCCCCATCTGCAGGTCCTTGCCCAGTGCCCCCCTTGTCCCAGCAGCCTGGGACTCTGCCCAGAAAGCCCATCCAGTGCTCTTGGCAGCCCATAGGTCCAGATGCCAACCCTGGAACATCCCTCTTCCACACATCCACGGTTGCTGTGCAGGGATGAGGGAGAGCCCAACTGTACAGGCTCATGACCCCTTCCGAGAAAAGTTTCTGTAGGCTCCAGCAGAGCCAGCCATACTGCTGACAGAGGCCACCCAACATCACCTTAATCCTCTCCCCTCCACTGCAGGGTGACAGCGGTGGTCCTCTCGTGTGCAAAGCTAACAATGCTGACTACTTCTGGCTCGTTGGAGTGACCAGCTGGGGGAAAGGCTGTGCAAGAGCAAAGCAGCCTGGAGTCTACACCTCCACTCAGCACTTTTATGACTGGATCCTGGTCCAGATGGGACTGCGCCCAGCAGTGAGGGCTACTCCAACAGCACGGGCATGGAGTCATTTTCTCACCACCTCAACTCCCTTTCAGAGGCCAGAGCCAATACCAACACAATCAAGTAGCTTTAGCTCCTGCCCATTTCCCCTCCAGAAGCTGCTGGAATTCTTTACTCGGGTGCAGGAGCTCCTGCAGGTCCTCAGGGGAAAAAAGGCTTGAGCAGCAGGAGGAACAGCATCCAGTGCAGGCTGCAGTGTACCATGACCACTTCCTTCGGGGGCAATGCCTGCTGGTCCAAAGGCAGCCTCAGTGTCAAAGGCCTGCTCTGTCCTGCCCATGTTCCTCTGAGTGCACACAAATGCTTAAGTGGACTTAGTTCTTGAAATAAAGTTGCCAGTTTTCACAGCTAACTATGCTTCAGTCTAATTCAGTCTCCTGTGCAAGGTACAGACTTCCATGTCTGGCGCCTGCAAAAGGAGGCTGCAGGCAGTCAAGTAGGGCACAAAGGGAAAG